ATTATTTGTTGAATTTATATTCCACCCTATACCAGGAGGTCTCAGGGCGGTTCACAGAAAAATCTTATGATAGTGTCAACGTTTTCTCCTTTGTAATATGTAAAAACCCAATAAAGGACTTTAAGGGGGTGGGTAAACTTGAATAAAAATCTCTTCTTACTTTGGCATTAGTGCCACCATCATTGTGTTCTGGGACAGGAGCTAGACATCTCCCAACATCTCATTTTTAGGTCAGTCACTGCCAGTACACACTCCATACTGTTTCCAACACCAGCCAGCTAATTTCTCTCGGGAAAAGCTGGACACGAAGGCAACAGCATTCCCTAGCCATGCCCTTGCCCACTGCAACTGATATTCAAAGCAAACTGCCTCTTCTTGTAAGGATTCTACATAATAATCATGCTTAATGGCTGTCAGTAAAACTCCCCTCCACAAATTTGTCTAACTCCTTTTCAAAAGCCTTCTAGACCATATCTGTAACCACCGTTGCAGCTTCCAATTACAGAAGCTAACTGTGCATAGGGTGAAGAAGCTTCTACCTCTGATCTGCTCTGAACAGACCTTCAAAGAATCAAGAGCAGTACTTTGCTGAAACATCTGCAGGGGCTGATGAAGACTGAAGCGCGCGCGCACACACACACACTCACACACTCACACACCAGTGGAGTTGGGGGACAGATAAACAAATTCTTACCTGAAATCATTGCCTATCCTTTTGCCTTGGTCTGGAATCCCAGGGTCCGGACACATGTTATGTCCCTGGGACACACCAACCTGTGTTACTACAAAGCAAAAAACAGCATATACAGAGATAGAATAGAAGACAGAATCATTAAAAAAAAAAATCAACTCTGTTGGTGAATGTGAAGAGAAAATGGAAAATTACAAGTTGGAATGCATTTAATTTGTATGTTTCCCCTTTTTTAAAAAAGCAACAAAATCTTTACATGTCTACTAAGGGAATAAGTGCAATGGAAAGACTTAATTTAGCTCAGTCTATGCAGCAGCCTCTGAGATCCACCCATCGCTGCCCCCCCCACCCTGATGCAGAGCATGTTTTTGCCTATCTCTCACACACATACACACAAATTAAAGGGCACATTTCCAGAACCAGCTACTTAAAAGGACACCTGTGGAATGACGTAGAATATCTGTAAAAAGCCCACCATCACCAAGACACAGATGTGAATGAAAAAGACACAGCTAAATAAATAAACAAATAATGAATAAATAAGTTGTATAGTGTGACATCAAAAGTGTGCAGAGGTATGAAGGGAGAAGAGGTCAGAAGCTGGTTGCAGTGTTCCAAAGTCGGTGATTTAGTTTGAATGTGGGGCAATCTGCAACAGAGCAAGCCTCTTCCTGTTAGCAGAAGATTAAGAAAAGTCAACTGGACCAAGATTAACTCCATCCCACCCACTGCAGTCTTGCACTCTTGGCCACAAACACACACAGCAGGGATCAAACCAGGATGAAATGAGATTCAGAAAAATATGTTGGTCTTTCAACTGTACACCAGCTTCTTTTCTTAAAAAAAAACCCCAAAGTAATAAACAGAGAAACAAATAGTTTCTACTTCATAAATGTCATGCATCTTCATCGTCATTGCTTTATTTCCTCCAACCCTTCTGCTATTTGATGCAGCTTAATTTTCTGACATTGCACTGGGTGGGTGGGTGGGTGGGTGAAGAAGAATGTGAATGTTCTTTAGCAATGAATGGAAAAGCCACAGAGCATGAAAAAATGAATAAGCATGCCCAGTTCCCACTGCTGAGTGGCTAACTAAATCACACACACATACACAGACATCTATACTATGTGCCCATAGGTCTCAGCAGATTCCCAAAGATCACTGGAGAAGACTGGGTGCCAACGGTCATAACAATGATGAAAAGTACAGGTAGATCAATTTTGCACATGGAACTGAGGTATGCCACACAGTGAGCCCTCAACAGGGAGCCATGGTCAATGTTGGCTTTGGGACAACAGTACTTGGCAAGATACATAGGCTTGCAACCACATATGTTTCTGACAGGCTGTGCCTGCACTCAGAACCAGACAAGAGGACAGCCATATCACAGACCCCAGCACATAGTGAGACTGGGAGAGGTTGGGATCAGGTCATCCTTAGAATGACACTGAGGTCACAAAACATCTATCTATCTATCTATCTATCTATCTATCTATCTATCTATCATCTATCTATCTATCTATCTATCTATCTATCTATCTATCTATATCTATCATCTATCTATCTATCTATCTATCTATCTATCTATCTATCTATCTATCTATCTATATCTATCATCTATCTCACTTCCAGGTTTTTAATCCTAGCAACATTTGGGAAACTCCATCCCATTGTGTTCAAAACTTGTCCCTCTGACTTCCAGTAACTCTGCTGGTACACCTTGACTGCTAAACCCTGATTTTCAATTTTGCTGACTTGGATGAACTGCTTCCTGACTCAGCCTAGAAGACCTTGACACATTCACACATTTCACTTTGAGGGGTACACAATGTTTTCTGAATGCACACTAGTGATGATGATGATGATCATGGTGTGTGGAGAAACCCTCAGTTGCTATGGTGGGATAAAGATTGAAGCAGTATCATCAGCATTCATCCTTGTATTGTGAGTGCATTTGTATTCTCAGAAACAAGACGCAAACCCCATGAGCACACATATGAAAAAAGTCCTCAACAACTCAATGCAATCTTTTTTTTTAAAAAAAAATAGGTAACATCCCTTTATGGCTGATATTCTAGAAGAGTGTTTATGTTGCCTCTTTCTTCAATTCTATAATAGGAGGCTCACCCCCACCACCTCCCTTAGCAAACCCTATCATCCATCCTCCCCAATTTCTGCCTTTGGGGCGCAGATCCATCACTCCATCTTGAAACTCTTGAAGGAGGGCTATTCAGTTCTGTGCATTGCCCACACAGACATTTCCCTAAGGAATGAATCATTCATACAACCAATCTGCAGGTTGTCCTATGAACCACAACATTTTATGAACCCAGTATCACCTCTCTGGGCCTTCTTTTCAAGCACATTGCATGGAAGGCCCAGTCCACAAACCATTTCTGTATACATGAACCAAAACAATTGCTGCAGAAGATGAAAGGCAGACTTGGAATGCCACATCTGTATATAAGGATGGGCTCATCATCCAGGTGGGAGACAATTTCCTTGCAGCTACCACATATGGATGCATCACTTTTTTCTGTAGAAGCACCATAACCATCAGCTATATTATTTAGAAGCCTCTGATCACATGCTTGGTCCACCCATTTGGTTCCAGTCACCAACCTTTCTTAGGCCCATGGGCACATTTAGATTTTTGAGTGAGTGTTGTGGGTGCCATCCTCTCTGGCCACTGCTTTCTCTCCCCCTCCCTGTATCAGCCACCCCCCCCCAAAAAAGAGAGAGAATGTATGCAGATACACATTTAGCTTTTCCAGGGAATTTGGGCAAAAGCCAGATCCAGTAGAATTTATCTGAGCCTTCAAAAGCACATAGAGCTGAAAGAGGAAGTGGGAAAGAGCAGCAGTCTTCCAACTTCCTCCTTCAGCTCCATGTACCTTATAAAGGAGGAAAAAGTAACCATCTTCACCACCTTATGACCAATGTGGCAGTGCAGGAGGAAGCAATCTAGAGGCTTTGTGGGCATTTGAGTAAGAGCTCAAGGTCTTGTGATGGTGAAGCAATCATCATATTGTCAGGGAAACAAGAGAACACCAATGCAACCCATTACTACTACTACTACTACTACTACTACTACTACTATTGCATCACTGTCAGTGTGTATGGCACTTTAGAGAGTCCTGAGAATGTGAACAAAAGAATATAGATCACAATAACCATGAGAAGGTGTCAGGATTTTACTTGATCCAGACTCACCACCATTATCCCTTCCAACCTGCCTTGATCCCTTGTTCTCCCTGGGATTGCTCCTCAAAAGCAAAGGTGGGAGCTCAGAGTCACTGTAGGAATGCAGGTTTGGCTGCCAGAAGTCATCAGATGACTCCTTGGCAGGAGGGAGAAGATCCAGCTGAGAACAATGAAGATGACGATGAAGAGCAGAAGTTGACAGTTTGCGGGGGTGGGGTGTGTGTTTTTGTTAGTTACTATGTTATGCAGTTTTGTTTTTATATTGTAAACCACCCTGTGATCCTCAGATGAAGGGTGGTATAGAAATGTAATTAATAGTAATAATAGCAATAATAGCAGCAATAGTAATAATAATAATAGTAATAATAATTCTCTCCATCTCTTCTGGACCCTTGTTGAGTTAGCAGCAACTTATTGAACTCTTTAATCCCCACTTGGCTCAACTTATTGAGCATTTTAATCACTTGGCTCAGATCCAGTTCCTATGTTGGATGCCAGTCACGGTCACAGAGAACATTGGTTCCTGGGAACCAAGAAGTGGTTTTAAGGATGGTTGGAAATCAAGGCAGTCAAGACACTGTGGTTCTGTTTGCATGTCACATTATACCATAGTTAAAATAAACTATGGCATCATGTGAATGCAGAGTGTGCTGGTGCCTTGCTCCTAAATTGTGGATGCTTTGCTCCTTCTCGGCTCCTTCTGATGCTGCCATGTTGTCAGGAAACAAGCCATGCTCTGGCCTAATGTTATGTCCATGATTTGTTTTCTTCAAACAAGCCATGAGTGATAAGTCTAGAACAAGCTTTGGTTATGACTCATGGTTTGTTTAGGAGCAAGTGTGGTGTAGTGGTTAAGAGTGTTGGACTAGGACCGGGGAGACTAGGGTTCTAGTCCCTACCTGACCATGAAGTTCACTGGGTCACCTTGGGCCAGTCACAGCCTAACCTACCTCACAGGGTCGTTGTGAGGATAAAATGGAGGGGAAAGAACTGTGTACACCATAGGTGAGCTCCTTGGAGAAAAGATGGGATATGACTGTAATAATAAATAAACTAAATAGAGAGGAAACAAGCCAGAAGCCTAGGTTCAGAAGTCAGACTATGAGCTGGGATAGCTCAGTCGGTAGAGCATGAGACCCTTATTCTCAGGGTTGTGGGTTCAAGACACACGTTGGGTGAAAGATTCCTGCACTGCAGGGGATTGGAGTGGATGACCCTCAGAAAGAAGGGAAAGCAGCCTTCAGGCTGGAAAAGGGTTCCCCACCCTGCCTAGACACTGACGTGTATCTTGTCCTTGCCTCTTGGACCAACCATCTGTGTCAGCCTGAAGGACAGTCCAAAGTGCATGCAGATGGGGGTGGCTGGAGGTGTCTTCTCCTTCTAGATCCTAGCTAGCCAATCTCTCCTCTGCAAAATAAATAAATACAATTTGCCAATTCACAGTTCTGTGTTAAATGTATCCAATTATGGTTTCATTGTTTGCTGTGATAATTTACTTCAGCTACTCAAAGGCCAGGCAAACCCTCGTCAATCCTCCCTCCCTCTGTACACAGCATTAATAAAGGGATAATTGATCTGTTTTCTCCTTGGGGGTGGGGGAAGCTTCCATTCAATGAGGGGTTGTCTTTTAATATCAGCTAGAAGATAAATGAGTTTCATATTGCCTGGGGAAGCAGGATCTTAAGTTAAAAGAAAACGGGCCCTCCCATTAAAAAAGCTTAGCTTTGGCCTGTTATTCCTCAAAGACTCTGTTGTTTTGTTTTGTATTGTCTGGCAGATGTACAATAAAACACTTAGAAAACACAAAAGGACATGGCTGTGAACAAACAGAGGACATTCATGTTAAGGGCCTCAACTGATTCCATGATAAACTATCCTAAAGTTTCACATACACAACTGGGTGCTGGGGGGAAGGCTGCCTGTGTGGAGGTCAGAAGATAGGACTATTGGTCTTAACCCTTCTCAGGAGTGTGTACACAACCAAACAAGAGTGTAGGAACACAACTGTCAGGGTCCAAAGAGCACTACCAACTTGACACACACACACACACACACACACACACTGCATGAATTGTTCATCTTAACACAGAGCCATGACCACCCGACTGGGAGGATCGACATGAAATCCACCAGACTGAGAAAGTCTTTCCAAAATTTGAATTGCTCCACCCACCTCTGTTCTCTCTTCTAGAGATTCACCCTGGCAAAGGCCGATAACCCAAGGCCATTCAACAGCAAGAAAACTGGTCTTTTAAATTTCCTGAAATGGCCCTTGAAATTCTGGCAGTCATCAGGCCCTGCATGAGTATAGAATAGCTCAGTTGTGAACACTAAAATCTGTTGGTTGCAATCTGCTTTCCTTGGAAGCTTGCTCAAGTCCTGGAGTTTGCTGCATATTACCTATAACTGTACATTGTAGTCTAACAATATCCAGAGGGTAACTCGTTTCCCATCCCTGGTTTAGACTGATTCAGATGTACCAATAAATCATTGTTTCATGTCATGACAACACAATGTATTTTAGGTTTGTGTGCTCCTCCTCCTCACCTTACATACATGTGCAGAAGATTTAATGCTGCTCATCACAGTTTGTAACAACCTGAAGTTTCTGTTGCATCCAAACAAGGAAACTGTGGTTTGTACAAACTCAGTTAACTAAGTAAAGTACTAAACCAGGATCAAAGTGTTTTCTTTTCTGGTTTGTTAACTTGCTGTGCTTTGTATAGAACACAGTCTTCTATTTTCAGATCGCAAATGCCTTTTTCTAATGAACTTTGATGAAATGCTTTACATTTTCTCCACCTGTATGTGAAGGAAGGAGGAAGGGGGTATATGTGAGCCTGAGGTTCATGCCTTTGGCAACAACAAGCAATTTGTTGTTATGTATGAACTGAAACTTAGCTTGGTGCCCCACAGGTTTTTAGCATGGTTGGACGGACGAGCTCAGAAGGATTGCTAACCACCCTCCCCTTAAACAGCAGACATACAAATCACCAGCGACTCTCTTAAATTGCAAAAAAATGGCTCATCATGTGGCAAGGCACTTTTTGAGAAGCATAAGATCAAAGCCTGGTTGTCTGTCGCTAGGAGGCCTTTTCACCTCCCGTATACTTATAATTCATGTCTTAATTTTAAAAATGCCATTTCACAGTTCTATTTAAACAAATCCATTCTTTGCTTTACATGCAAACTACTCTCTGTACATATCCATTCAAAGCTGGTCCTACTATTAGGCAGAGTCAGGCAGCCACCTTGGGCTGCAGATGCTGGGGAATGGGGAGCAGCTAGTAGTGAAGTGGACAGAGTTGTGTATGCCACACATACACTAAATTAGACCATTCAATTCCCACTTCATTCAGCTTCTGCACATGGAAGTGTACATGGAAGTGGACCCCATCTTACTCAACAAAATCTTGGAGAGGCCCTTGGCACATCCAGGTGCTAGACAATCTTAGTCTTCAGCTCATTATGGCTACAGGCTGGTTCTTGCTAGATTGCTTGCTAAGGAGCAGAACCACTCACTGCATTATGCTGAGCCCACACCATTCCTCTATAAAATACAGCAAGGGGTGTGCCAGTGCCGCCAACAGTCTAACCTTTGAGTGCTTAGATTACCTGTGTGCCTTGGATTAACTATGTGTATTGCCTGCTGCGCCACAAACCAGAGATTTGCATAGGTATCACACCAATCTCAATATTAAAGCCTTTGGAAAGAATCATTCTCTGAGTTTTTGTTCTTCTTAAGCTAGGAGTCAGGATAGACAGCTGCTTGTAGACAAGATGTGATCCTTGTAAGGAGACAGATGCAGGAACTGCCTATGTGGACATGTGAAACAAACTCTCTTGCCACTAGAAATATGTCTGCAGGAATCATTGCTGCTAGTGAGGAGAGGACCCAGAAAGCCAAGATCTGATTGCACCTCGCATTAGCAGCCATTGCAAAAACTATATTGAAGTAATGGACAATCACCTTCACATCTATTTGGGAAGAAATAGTTTGACATTTTGGCTCCTGATACAATCTGGGCTGAGAAGATCAAGCATATTATATTTTTATTCTTAAACTTCCTACATTTTTAGAAAGACCCATGCCATGTTGAGAACATGGTGTGTCACTGAACTAAATATCTGATTTAAGAGTCACTTGGTTGCAGGATGCCCAACCAGTGTCTTACAACACGATTAAGAACACAAATTATTATTTATTTTTGCTTTGTATTGCCAAAGCAGAGGGAAACCGAATGCACCCCAATATAAACGACTGTGCTGCTTCAGATGAATTTGTGTTGAAGAAACGGGCACTGTGACTTACTCTGCCATGTTAAACACACACAATCTGTCACAACTGTAGCTTATCTCTCAGCTGCTGTCTCTCCTTGCTCATCAATCTCTTAAGAGTCCCACTATCCACACAGACAACCATGTGAAATAGATAACACATAACAGAGCACAGGTGGGGATGAGTAGTTAATAGCAATATTCCCAGCCAAATAAGTTGGACTAGATCAAAATCAAATTTTATGTCACCATCTGAATCAGGTATTATTACCCCTTCACCTTGAGAATGTTCCTTTAACTCTACATCCTGTTTTTCATCCACTAGCCAAACTACAGCCAGTTTGTGCAATCACAGCTCGGATGCCAGAAATGAGCAGAAGAGTAGAATGCCATTTGAAAGAGCAATTCAAAACCACTCTGGTTTTTTCCTGCTGTCTTTCTCTCTGATACAAATGCCCAAATGGAATTACTTTAAAGCAGTCTGCATCCCATAACGCTACGGAACCACACAAATAGCACAAGTAACCTTTCCCCATACCGCTTTGAAAGATGTCAGTGTTTAGTATATTGACCCAAGGAACAGAGTGAGTTTTTATTTCTGATCCTACGTTAAAGGTAAGCCTAGAGGCACTTCTGCGCTGTCTAGGAATGACACAAACCTTTCCTGCACAGCCATTCACACCACCAGATGCCCACTCTTGCGCTGTTTCTATCCACATCCAGCAGGGGTAGACTTTGTGCTTTAAAATTTCAGTGATGCTCTGTGTAATGCCAAAATTTGGCTGCCTCCAGGCTCGCTTGTCTTCCATTGTTCATCACTGTTGCAGCGCCCCCTGTGGCGCCCTCTTGGCTCAATGCCCAATGCAGGCAAACTGATCACACTCCTCTAAATCTACCTTTGACATCCAACTGCAAAATCCCAGCTCAGTTTCCATTCCAATGCAATTCTATGGAGGGAATCCACACCCAAGGATTGCTCCACTTCAAAATCACACACCTATCAAAGGAGTGCATCTAATGCTTTTTGTGTGTATAAGGGATCACATGTACAAACAAAAGATCACGCGCACACACACAAAATACCCAAAGGAGTCTGCTAACTTCAGTAAAGGAACAATCCCAGGACAAAACAAACTATCTATTCTAGGTCTGTTTCTAGCAAGTTGTTTGTTTAAAGAAAGGCAAAGTTAGTGAAAAACTAAAAAGCACATCCAGAATAAGTGTGGTGAATATTACTATTTTCTCCTTTTGTCTTTTTCTTTAAGTTAGGCACAGTGAAATTCAATGACCAGGAATGGGAGAGAGGAAAGATCTCATTTCAGATTATCAGTGGAGTTACTGCAGCTTTTTTTGTTGCTTGCTTCCTCACCGCTGATCCAAGTCCTCTTACATTCATGCTAGACAAATACATCTGGTTGTCAAAAAATGTGTTTGCATCGTGATGACTCTATAGAGTATGTGACAAAAAGCAGAGATATCCGAGTCTCCCAAAGCCCTCCACAGGATTACTAACACTATAGATTGCACACACATGGCTTTCCCCTTCCCACCCATCCAGGCCGCATCTTAACAGTTAGTAGGTGCTTGCAAACAGAGCACCAGAAGAAGGAGGTGAGGCGATAATGCAGGGTAGGAGGTGGGGGTAACAAGCATTAAAACTTGGGAGAAAGAGTGGCAACATTCTGGAGATTGCTGTAGAGTCATGGAATGCTTAAGGCGCTAGTTCTCACTGAACGTGCAACGGTGGGTGAAACTTACACACAGATGTCTTCTGGTTTGTGTCCTTACTCGGCATCAATTTCACTCCCCGGGACTTCATCTCCATTTGTTTTTTGACTAGAGAGGTAACAAAATGGAAGAGAGATCAGCAAAAGATGGACTGCAACCTGCCAAGAAACAG